GGGCAGTGTTTCGTTCTGCTGTGCATGGGGTCGCTATGAGTCGGAAACGACTCGACGGTAGAAGTTTAAGTAGTTACAATGTCTTGGGGAATCTATTTAGCACCCTCTAGAAAACTTAAGGGAGCTTTGGTGGCATAGTTCCTAAGGCATTTGACTGCTAACCAGAAGGCTAGCAGTTCAAACCCACCAGCCACTCCTTAGAAGGAAGACTGGGCAATCTACTTTGTAGAGATACCGCCTCAGTAACCCAAGGAGGAGGGGTCGCTGAGTCTGGATCAACTCGATGGCAGTGAGTTTGATTTTTGGTTTAGAAAACTTAAAAATGTATGTAATCTAGATTCAGCAAGCCCAGATGTAGGCATATACTATACATATGCAACAGGAGACACGTACAGGAAAGTTCATAGCAGAGTTGTCTTCAACCGGAAAAAAATAACTGGAAACCACTCAATGTCCACTGACACGAAAGCTGTGGAATACTTACACAATTAAACACTAAAGGGAGTAAAAATGAATGAACCTCAGTTCCTCTTATTAACATGGAGAACTGTCAGGGACATAATGTTAATTAAACACACCAAGTTCCAGAAAAATACATACGGTATAATTCCATTTTGCATAAAGTTCAAAGCATGCAAAGCCAAATAGTATTTTGTCTAAGGATACATGTATGTATAGTAAGATATGATTAGCATAAATTTCAGAATAATGGGCTATCTCTGGAGGGATCAGATCAGGAAGGACCACATGGAAGGAGGTGGCTTCAAGATATGGGTCATGTTCTACCAAATTTCACTGATTTTCAGAGGCCAATTTTTTCACATTTAACATCTCTGAAATGAGGATGTGTTTTACAAGCTATGGTATCTTAGAATTATACCTGTGGCATCTATAGTTCTTTTTTGTTGTTGTTGTTGTTTGCCATCGAGTGGGACCCAACTCATAGCGACCCCTCCTTAGGTTTCCAAGACCGTATCACTGTGGAAGTAAATCACCCAATGCTTCCTTCCAAGGAGTGGCTGGTAGGTTTGAACTGCCAGCCTTCTGGTTAGCAGTCAAGTGCCTCAGGCACTACACTATTTCTTTCTTAGTGGTCCGTAAAAATACAAGCAATAGAATCAATGAACTATGGCTAGTTTTTTAAGTTATACAGTGAAAACATGAATATTCACTTTATTTTTAATTGTTTATAACATATATACATATAATAAACCTTAAAAATAGAATAGGACTATGGTTCACCTTAATATAGGGTGTTGAGGAAGAGGAGTAGGGACACTTTAGGTAAGATTAAGAATTTAGATGGTGATGATATTTAAAGACAAAGGGGATAAAGAGGGTCAGGAATAAGGTCATAGATTTTGAGAAAGATAGAGATAGGAATAGAAAGCCTTAGGAACCAGGATGGTATAAGGGAGAGTGTGGAAATTTGGAAAAGAGTTTGGTTCTAAAGTCAAGAAGAGTAAGAATGAAAAGGACAAAGGTGAGAAATAGGGTTGGGGCTCTAGTGCAGTGCTGTCCAATAGAACTTTCTGCAATGATGGCAATTTCTGTATCTGCATGGATCACTGCTAACCAGGAGACTGGCGGTTCAAACCCACCAGCCACTCCTCGGAAGGAAGGTGGGCAATCTACTTTTGTAGAGATACCTCCTTGGAAACCCAAGGAGGGGTCGCTATGAGTGGGATCCGACTCTATGGCAGTGTGCTGCGTTTTGTTTTTTGTTGCACAGTTCAATATGGTAGGTAATAGATACATGTGGATACTGGACATTTGAAATGTGGTGAGTATGAGCAACAGAATTTTTCATTTTATTCCATTTTAATGAAGTTTAAATAGCCACATGTGGCTAAAACCAAAACCAAACCAAACTCATTGCTGTCGAGTCGCATCCGACTCATAACGACCCCTCCTTGGGTTTCTGAGACAATATCACTACGGAAGTAGATTGCCCCATCTTCCTTCTGAGGAGTGGCTGGTGGGTTTGAACCGCCAACCTTCTGGTTGGCAGTCAAATGCCTTAGGTAGTACACCACCAGAGCTTCTACAGGTGGCTAGTGGCCACACTTTTGCACAGCACTACTCTAGAGTGTCCCCAGAGAAGGCCTCACAAGAGAGGCTCCTGAATCCAGACTGAGGGCAGGGATGGGGCCCCAGCCCCAGGGCACTCACCAGCCACGATGAACAGAAAGATGGCAAAGCCCAGGATGTAGTAAGGCCACTGCACAGTGAACTGTGGGGGGCTGGGCTGCATCCTCAGCTTCCGGATCTCCAGGGCATGCAGCAACAGGGCCAGGAAAGCACAGGCCCCTGCGGGGTCACAGGGAGGCACTTTTGTTCGTCTTTCATGATTGCCGCCCTTACATTACCCTTCCTCAGACTTATTCAGACAGAGCCACATGGCCTGGAGTCTTTGTGGCTCCTGCTTGGAAAGTCCTTCATCCTGCCTGCACCTCTTGCCTTCTCTGGGCCAATAATCCCTCCTCCACCTGCCTGTCTGTCTCTCCTTCCCAACTCATCTCGAAGCCCTCGGGCCTCCCCTTCTCAGGGCCCCCATAATCAGAAGTCCCTAACCTGGCTGCTCTCAGCGTCCATGCCCTTGGCTGATTTCAGGCTGGGCATTCTGGGTGTGATACTTTGCATGGAACTCATCCTGATCCACCCACTGTACGTGTTCTGTCTCCTCCACTCCCATTGGAGTAGAAGCGTCCCACAGTAGGGCCTTCATAACTCCCACAGTAGGGCCATCAATTCTGACAGGGCCGGTGTGGGGGTGGGTTACTTGGGAAAATCTTCATAAGAGAAGGCAACAGAGGTGGGCCCCCAAAATCATGCCTTTCTTGACATCTTCAATGCTTTGCATGGACAGACACTAACCACCCCTCTTCCTCTGCACCCCTCCCCAGATCTCTACAGAGACTGCCTGCGGACAAGGCCTGCCTCGTTGTTCACACCTGTGAGGAAGCTGACAGAGGCTGACACAAAATTGTGCTTCCGGATCCTTGGAAAGAGCTGAGATGCAAAGGACACCATGATGAAGGTTGTGAGGAAAGACAAGACGACTGCAGAGAGCAGGAAAATCCGACCAAGCAGGATGTAAACTGCAGGGAGGAAGAACCAGGACTGGAGCTGGGGACCTGGCCACAAAGGGCAGAGGCTGGACAGGGTGCCTCCACTGTCCAGAGCCTCCACCACCCTCAGGTTCCAAAGCACGACCTGTAGGCCATGGCTCTGGTCCTGCCACTCTGCCCCCAAGAACATTCTGACCTCACCATCCGGTTCTCAACAACACAGAACTATATGGGGGGCAGGGACTTAGATTGGCAAATTCAGACACTGAAACCGTAAATCAATTCTTAATAAATATTAGGTGAATTTGGTTGTATGAAACCATCTAGATGGGGAAAACAGTGACTTTAATAAAAAACATATCACCAAACTCTTGTGATAAAATTTATTGCACATGGAAAAGTGAAGAACTGTATCTGCATTCTGATGTAATAAAAAAACTGACCCATGAGAAATCAGAAATTCCTAAGGTCAAAGTGCTCAGAACTCTGGAGGGAGCCCCAAACTCCTATTTCATTTTCCTAGTTAACAGGAGTAATGGAACGGATCAAAAATAGCAGAGCCAGAGCCAGAATTATTCTCTTATTGTGGGCTCTGGTAGCGTAGTGCCTAAAACACTTGACTGCTAACCAGAAGGCTGGCGGTTCAAACCCACCAGCTACTCCTCAGAAAGACGATGGAGCAATCTACTTCCGTAGTGATACTGCCTCGGAAACCCAAGGAAGGGGTCGCTATGAGTCGGGTCCAACTCGATGGCACATAACAACAACAACAGCATTACTGAAAACCCAGATATTCTGGAATCTACCCTTGTATTAAACCAGTGTCTCAGCTGAGGCCATCTGACCCCGCATAGGGGACATCTGGCAATGTCTAAAGATATTTCCGGCTGTCACAGCTTGGCAGGTGGGGGCTGCTACTGGCAACTGGTAGGTAGAGCTCAGGGCTGCTGCCAAGCAATCTGCAGGGCACAGAACAGTCCCCGCACCCAACAATTATTCAGCCTCAGATGCCACAGTGCTGAGGTCGAGAAACCCCAAAAATGAGATCACAATCTGGCCCATCCTGCCCACTGCGGCTTTTCCCGTAACTGGGAGATAATCCCTAAATCTCCTTCCAAACCAAAAACCAAACTCACTGCCATGAGTCAGAGCCGACTCAGAGGGACCCCTCCCTGGGTTTCCGAGGCAGTATCACTATGGAAGTAGATCTCCTTAGGTTGCCTCTTTTGCAAGACAAACATTCTCAACACATTCAAAGTTCCTTGGAATACACAGTTCAAGTACCTTCCCAGTCCTCTGAGCTCAAATGTTTGTGGACATTCCTAGGCCCAAGCCCAGTATCTGCAGAGCTGCTGCCTACGTGTGGCCATTAAAGATGTCTTCTTCTGAATGAGCAATGTGGCCGGTAAGTATTGGCTGGACTTGACTTTGGAAGACCTTAGCTTTTGTCTGAGCTTTATAGCTTACTAGCTGTGTCACCTTTGGGATGTGGTTAAAATGTTAGGGACCTCAGTTTCCTTATTTAGAAAAGGGAAGATACAGCACCTACTCAAGAGAAGGGCTGAAATCCTGCCCTCTGCTGACCAGGCTGTTCTCCCTGACTAGGTGCTGTGTCCCACCCACAAGCTGTGTCTACGTGAGCCACCACACGGCAGCCCCAAGAGGTGGTTCATCCTCAGAGTAGACCAAGATCCTCCTCCGTCACCCCAGATGGAACACGCCTATCCTAGAAATAAACTTTGCTACCGACACCTGCACTCCTGACTCCAGTGGTCAAGCTGACATTATTAACCCCCTGCTAGCCTACTACTTTCTTTGAATCCCAAGGCAGTAGAAACTCGGAGAAAATGTCTTCACGGGCTTATTCAATTCTGTCCTCTCTGCTCCCAACTTGTCCCATAGCCCCCCAGCCCCACAGTGGCCCTGTCTCCCTTTTCCCCATCCCCATCTCTCCTTACTGGATAAAGGTCGAGGCTTCCAGCATTTGATATGGAAACAGTTCTCAAACAGTCCACTGAAATACTCTTCGTAGGACTCTTCATTTCTAAGCCGCACCCAAAAGGGAAAGATGGAGACCAGTAGTATGAGCAGGTAGCCCAGGGAGGTCAAGGCAGGGGCCATGGCCCAGGAGAATCCTTTCATGCTCCTGCCATCTAAATTCAGCATTGCCTGTGTAAGGGAAAGGTGACAAGAGGTGGCTTTAGCCAATCATCGCTTCCATCCTAACGTTACCACGTGTTGTTGTTGTTGTTGTTGTTGTTATTTGCCATCAAGTCAGACCCGACTCATAGTGATCCCTCCTTGGGTTTCCGAGGCAGTATCACCACAGAAGTAGATTGCCCCATCTTCCTTCCGAGGTGGGTTTGAACCGCCAGCCTTCTAGTTAGCAGTCAAGTGCCTTAGCCACTATGCTACCAGAGCTCCCGCTTTACCACTTACTAGCTGTGTAGTCTTGAGGAAGATGCTAAAACTCTCAGGACTTTAGTGTCCCCATTTGGAAATGGGGAGCTATAATGCCTGCCACATAAGGCCATTGTGAGAACTAAAGGAAAAAATGCACCTAGAAGTATCAGACACAGTGCTGGGCGCTCAGGTACTCAACTAGGGTTTGGGGTGTGTGATGGCTTGAATAGTGACCCCCCAAATTTATGTCCACCTGGAAGCTCAAAATGTGACCTTCTTTGGAACTAGGGCCTTTAAATATATTTAGTAAAGATGAGGTCGTACCAGATTAAGGTATGCTCTAAATTCAATAGGACTGGTATCTGTAAGAAGAAGGCGATTTGAACACAGAGACAAAGACATAGAGAGAAGACAGACATGTACAGACAGAGGCAGAGACTGGCCTTATGTTGTCACAGCCATGGAATGCCAGAAGCTGGAAGAGATGAGGAAGGCACCTTCCTTAGAGGCTTCAGAGGGAACAGGGCCCTACTAACACCTTGACTTTGGATTTCTAGCATTCAGAACTGAGAGAAAATAAATTTGTTGTTGTTACGGCAGCTGTAGGAAACTAATACAAGAGTTCTCCCAACATCATCCCTGTGGGAAAAGGGGTAGGAACCATTCACAGCTTCAGGGCAAGTTTATTCAACTAAGCTGTTTTCCCCACTCTCTTTGTTGAGCCTGGCCTCTTGCAGAGCAAGAGCATTCTCAAGGTGGTAAGGGAAGAGGTGGTTTGAAGGCTAACGTGCTATAGGGAGGGCAGGGCAGGTCACAAGGCATCCAGATGGCAGCATGACCACCCTGCCTGGCTACCTGGCAGTCGAGAAGGGGTGAGGGCGGCATCAGAAGGTGAGAGACATGAAAAAGTAGTCCTTCTTTCCAAGTCACACCCAAAGCCGGGCCTAAAGACTCCTGCCTCCTCCTCAGCAGGGCTGTGCTTGGTTTGCAAGCTCTGATGGTGAGCACAAAGACAAGGCCCTCAGAGTGGGAGGTGCTTCTCTCTCAGACCCGCCCTCCTACAAACACAGGATTCAGTGTCCAGGCATCCTGACCTGTCCACAGACCAGAATCCATGCAGACCTTTGCTGCCCTGGAGGAAGGAGGAGCCTTTAAGGCTTTGGGAACCATTGATCGCTTCGCTGAAATAAGCCTGATGGCAGAGGGCTGAGGTGTGGGTCTCCCTCACCCCTCCACCTGATTATGCTATTTATAAACGGGTAAATAGGTGTTCCTCCTTGGATGCTGTCAAAGAGATTTGGAAATACTCCATGTACTTTCTCCCACCTCTATGTCATTCACTAGTTTCTTCCCACCTGAAAAACTGTATCATTCCCTCTTCCTACATCTCTCCTTTTGATCTCTTCTCCACTCTCCTGGACATACTGATGAGTCACTTCAACTTCAAGGCCTCGGGCTCCTTAGTTCTCAGAAGATGAAGCTGAATAGACCAGACAGGACTGAAGCTTCTAGCTCTACAGCTCTCTGAGTAGGAGGTATGGCTATACCCTACTCTCGACCTCTGAGATGGAGCACACTGGGAGTTCTTATCTGATGCTCTGAGCTCCTCCCCCACCCCAACCTCAGCTTGCCTAGAACTGACCTCAGCTTCTTCCCCCTTTCATTCTCTCACCACCCCCAAACTCTAACCTTGGGCTTATGCTGGTTTCTCCCATTCTCCCACACTTCCATCTCATCAACCGTCCTCTTCATCTCAGTTTTTCTTTCATCAAGATCCCTGCAGTGTAGTAAATTACTTTGTGTGGCTTTTCTACCCATAAGTCTTTGTAAACTCCAAGGTGGGATTTTCTATGAGCAACTGAGGAGCTCCTGATTGCTGAAGGTGTCCACCTGGAGTATTTCTGTTGGGTGTGGCACAAAACAATGTTCTGGGAGGTGCCTGCTCTCTCTCAGGTGCTTAGAGTTCTGATGCTGTGATTGGCTAGTTTGACCACCCTGCCGGGCTCAAAAGGAGGCCTCCTAGAGGCAGAACTCTCTCTGACTGCTGGTTGAGGAAGACACACCCCGGAAAGAGACATGTGCTGCTGGGAAAGAGATGCAAGAGACACGCATTGCTGGTTGAGACACTGAGGGACCAGCACTGCTTGGAAAGAGTGTGAGAGACTGTTGGCTGAGGGACGGTGGGCTGGGAGAGAGACTGAGCGTTCTTCTTGAACTTGAGTTGTAGCCTGATGCTTTCCTAATAAACCCCATAATCTGTGAGTTCTGTGTGGCCACTGCAGTGGATTATCGAACCCAGGAGAGAGGTGGTGGGTGCTTTGGGAGGAACGGTTGGAGAAAGGGCTGGAGGGAGACAGCATGTCTGGCCTTGCAGTAATAGGCCTTGGGTTACTGCTGGTAATCCTGTCTTCCTCTCATGGGATTAGAGGAGGTCGGAACATGTGGCCCCCTTGCCGTTTCTGCAATCCCCAAGCATCCATCCTTCCTTTTGCCACAACGGCCACATGTCCCTCCACATCTGGACACTGCAATTGTGCCCAAGCAGCTGCCAGCCTTGATGCTGTGGTTCCTTTTTGCGGCGTGCCATCTCTGTTCCTCTTAGCTCCTTAGGAATACTGCTTGGGCCCTTCTGCTTCATACAGCCCTCCCAAGCCACCAGCCATCATCCATTTCTGTAACAAAAATTAACTGTGCACTTACTGCATGCCCCATGCCTCCTTGCCTGTGCCAATGGTGGGGATTCAAGGATGCAGAAAAGATGGGAATTCACCAGCTCTTGGTAACGATGGAGAAGGGGAGACACATAAACAAGTCCCAAGGGTGCGAGGCTTTTCCTCTCCTCAGCCTGGAGTTATCCCAGGGCACTACCAACCTAGACAAGGGGAAGGTTCTGAGGACCTTACCCTCCTTCTCCAGGCACTAAGCCAGGCCCAGCATAAAGCAGCCCCTGGGGTTGGTGCCTCCAGCGGTGTACGATTTAAGATTCACACAGATATAGACCAGACTCAAAGGATCATAAACATTTTATTCTAAAAAATATTTATAGATTCTTTTGTACTGATGAAAAAACGGAGAACCGGACAGAGGGAAGGGCTGGTCTCAGATCCCACAGAGAGACATGGCTGGACATGGCTGGCCCGGAGACATCTGCATGTCAGGGCATCCTGCCTCCCCAGCCACCAATGGCCCTCAGAATTGAGTGAAGCCAGTGGCTTTTTCCCCTAATAGCTATGTGCCAGTGCATTGCCAGGAAGGGAAAGATAACTGGAGGAGGGGCATGGGATGAGCACTTTTTTATTTTGTCAAGGGCATTCAAACTAAAATAAAAGCAATTACTATCTAGTACCTCTCCCATTTTTAATTATAAAAGAGGACACATGACAGCTGAGGGTGGAGGAGCTCTGGGCTCCATGGTGCCTGGAGCCATGGCATCTGGGAGTCACTTGCTTGATGGGGTCTGGGGGCGGCTCTCAGCGAGTGTCCCCTTGAGCCCTTCTTCAGCAGCCCCAATCCCGGAGCACTAGGACGGTTCCCGTCGCCCCAGTCCTGGGGGACGAAGCAAGTGGGCCGTGTAAAGCGCACCCTGGGTGGGCATGGGATGACGGGGGAGGGGCGCAGGAGGGAACTGTAAGGGCCGCGGCGGGTTCATTCCCCACTTTCCTGCCCGTCATTTGGGGCAAGCTGGGCTACAAACTGAACCACTGATGGTCAGAGGCTCCTTCCTGCTGACAACCTACCTCAGCTCCTTTCTTCTGAAGACAGGACGCCGCCTTTCCATGGCTTCAAAGTCACACTGGCATTTTCCAAAGCCCAACGTGGGCCTTGACCTGGCCATGGCGCCCCCAGACTCGGCCGTTCATCCCAACAGCCCTGCAGGCTGCCTCTTTTTGTCCCCTACAGTCCCCCTCTCCTCAGCAGGTGCCACCGTCTGGGTGCCCTGAGTAGTCAAGTGGATCCCTATGTTGGGGGGTGACCCCCTCGCCCCGCCCCTTGCTCTTCCGCGGTCCTGGAGCTTCCGTTGGGCCCGGAGGCCCTGGCCCAGGGGCCATTTTAGTCTCCTCGTAGAGCGTAGTCTGTCCTCGGGCCCCTGAGCCCTGTGGGCATCGAGCAGGGGGCTCACCCCTCCCCACCAGCCGCGCCGCCCACCGCTCACCTGCTCTTGGCTTTCAGTGGAGTAACCTGCCATGAAGATTTGCGCCCGGTGCACGTCTCGCCCCCCACACGGGTGGGGTGGGGGCAGTCTGGAATGAGCGGCTCTGAATTCGAATTCCCGCTCAGCCATTCCCAGCAGGCTGACTGGGTCAGCTGTCTCTCCTTTCTGGCTTTCAGTTTTCCCATTTGTAAAGCGGAACTTTACAGCAACCCCCGTAGGATTGTTGAAAGGGTGCAGTGGCACAAGCCTGGAGAAGACCGTTCTCAGCGCCTGCGGATGGAAAGCAAACAACAGCTGCCCAAGAGTCTTGCAGACTCACGGTGACCCCACGTATCTCAGAGCAGAACTGTCCGCCCTAGGATTTTCAGTGATTGGCTTTTCAAAAATAGAAGCAAGGGCTTTCTTCAAAGGGAGGTAGGGGTGTCTTTACTGTCTTATTTTGGACTGGGCAGAGATATAGCTAGAGAGGATTGCAGCGAGGGGAAGAGAACTCCTGAACTTCCCACTGCTCTCAGAGAAGCAGCTTTGATCTCCCCAGTCCTACCCAGACCGTCATTGTCCAGGGGCAGGGAAAACAGTCACCAACAACTTCCAGGCTCACACCCTCACA